TCATAAATTTATGAAATCCTTTAGCTCTATCAACAAGTCATAAATTTATGAAATCCTTCAGCTCTACAAACAAGTCAAAGTTATGAAATTCTTTCAGCTATACAAACAAGTCATAAACATATGAAGTACTTCACTTCCACAAACAAGACCTAAATTTATAAAATCCTTCAACTCCACAAACAAGTCGCTATTAAATTGATGAAATCCCTTCCAGCCACAAACAACTAATTAAGTACTACGAAAGACAACCAGGTCTTCAAAGAAATCTTAAATATACACCTATTAAATACCTTTTTATATAAAGACGTAAGGGCAAGACTTAGAGCTACTAAAAAAATTAAGCTAGTGAAACAACATATGGCATTGTTTACTTTAAGGAGACCCACTAAATAGCGCGATCAAACGGGTTAAAAACATTAATGAATCAATCAATCAATCAGTCAATCAAAAATAGGAAACAGTAAACTGTACAACACGCTCCTAAAATAAACTGAAAAGACCAAACAAAATTAAAGCTACAATTTGTACATGCAGGACGGTTAGGTTTGTTGATTTACTTTAGCGCCATCAAGTGGGTTCCCTGAAAGTAGCAAAGCTCAATATCTAATATTTTATGTCACAATGTTACATTTAGCAGCAGTTCCAGGCAACGCGTCCATCCATGAAAATCAAGTTTCCAGGCCATGTTGTAGATGAGAGAAGATGCGAAAGAAAAAGTTTGAAGAAAAGACTTACTAACGGCTCCTCTAGGAGCCATCACTTAAATAAAAGTGCAATGGTCAACAAATAGATTCTTAATGTTGAAATATATCGCGTTGTGATACGTGAATTTTCGCTGAAAACTTGCAATTTCTTATAAAGATAATTAGCCATGTACGCGTGTGGAATAGCAACTCCACTTTCCAGCCGAAAGTACACATAGTTAAGGAAAAGGAAAAGGAAAGTTACGCTGAAAGCTCGGCATTTGCACTGAAAATTAAGTAATTGTTACCCACCAACTCTCTTGCTAAGAAGGTACCCACAGTATTATGCTCAATGACGTTAAACTTGAGCTTAAACGAGACGTTCGTACACTGCTTGTTGTTTCTTACAGCACTGATGAATTCAAGGAAACTCAAATTCCCCCAGAATAACTTAACATATAAAAAGTACTTTAGTACACGTACAATTGTGTTAGTAGAGGGAAAATAGCCCAATTTCTATATATTTAATTCAGCCTAAAACAATAGACCTCAGCATGAGGCTCTGGGGAATAAACCCCACAAACTCTGTAGGTGTTCCCCAGAGCCTCGTACTGAGGTCTATTGTTTTAGGCTGAATTTTAATATATTGGAATCGCAAGAAACTGTCAAGAGTACACCGTCGACGACGATTTTCTGTGAAATATCTCTTGGAAAATGCGTAGGTTGGCTAGAAATTTTGATAACTTGAGAACTGCTTAAAGTGGCTGTTCCATTCATCTAAAATTTTTGCATTTTTTTTTTCTTTTTTCTCATTCAAGTATTCGCGTAGTCGCTTTATACCAGAAACTTTCTGGAACTTTTCCTCTTCCAAGAAAATCAGCAAATTCGGTGTTGAATAACCGCAAAACAAGACGTTCCTCTGTCTAAACCTATCGCCTAACGGTTTCTAGCGCAACTTAGAATTAACTTGAGATGGCATTTTCCAACACTTACATTTTGATGGGTCGTGATAACCACTTTATCACGATGCCAGTACAGTCATGGTATCAAAAAACTTCTAAAAACACCCTTAATTACAGCTTTAGAGACTTTTAATCCAAAACGACACGGTGAATTTTTTTATGTTATCAAATTTTGATAAGCGTAAGACGCAACTTTTGGCAAAGTTTAAAATATAGAGTTCAGAATCAACTTCAATTTTCAAAACTTGAAGGTTGCTTTGAACCGTTGCGTCTTATCGTGCTTATTGAAATTTAATAATATAAAAAAAAATTCACTGTTCCGTTTTTGAATTATAAGCCCCTAAAGATGTTATTAAAGGGTTTTTTTTACCAGGTCATACTGTTGCTAAATTGACCCATCAAAATCTAACTGCTGGAAACTATTTTGAGCCACCTTAAAGAACTTGAAACGTAGCTAAATTGATAGCAAAATCTGGAACCGCCATCTTTTTCCATAGGCTGGATTCAGTCTCCATCCGAGTTGTCTGCCTCCTCTTGTCCGTTGTCGATGTCCAGTTCTTTATTGACATGACTTGCCGTCAGTCTACATTCTTCTCCTCTCTCCAGACAAACAACATTTCTGTTGGCTGAAAGACCAGCAGCAATTCCAGCACCTAGGGAAGAATAAATTAATCCTCAGTTCCGTTTATTTGAAATACGAGGCTGTCTATTTACAGTATGTTGGCACGTTACTAAGTTTTGAGTACGGACAGTATACGTTGTGAACGTACCTTTTGACCGTGTCAAGTCCAAAATCCAATTCCCTTCAAAGCTAAATCTTTTTATTATTGCTGAGATGAGGTCAGCAGGCAGAGTGTAAGTGACTGCTCCGTCGTCGACTCCCGGACAGGCAAATACATTGGAGGCATCCTCCACGAGGTTGGAGCATTCCGGGCTGAAGACGTTGCTCGCCGTCCAGTGGCAGATCAATATTTCCGTCAAACTGTTTTGCAGCAAGTGTCCTGTACAAAATAGATATGTTATCAATCTAATGCAAAAGTGAGTATTGAAAAGTACATGTCGTAATGCAAATACAATAAAAGACGAAGCTTTAAGTTGTTTTGATGAACTACTGTTCTCTTGGCTGCTCGCGTCTTGTATCATTTGGAAAGCATCATGTCTCTTACCCTCACTCACTCCCCACCATAGAAAACAAGTCTTGGTGGTCCTGCTACACTTACCTTGAACTTTTTTCTGCCTCGTGTCGTACCAGAAGGCCTTCTGGACCAATGAAAATTTTTCCTGGATGCTTGATTGGTCTCCAGGGTTAATGATCACAATGTTGTACCTCTGTAAGGCATCGACATTGCAGGCATGAACTGAAAGAAGTACTCTTTTCAGTTCTGTTTCATCTGCATCCTATTGACAGTAATAATGACAAGTCAGTTTGTTATGAGAATAGCACGTAGTTATGACATTTATGTCATATTGAGGTACATTTTTCAATTAACTGTAAAGGAATCAGTGTTACATTAAAACTGAGAGAAACTAATTAAGCCACCCTGAGTCCATTTACTTATTACCTCCTCTAGCTTTATAATGGCGAGATGAAACCCTTCAAATGAGGGGGCAATTGTCCTCAGTTTTTGCACTGGCAACGTGTCTTGCAATTCCATCAGTATTCCAACCTCGTGGCTTTCTTCATTCTTGTTATGGAAGAAGACGCCGTTTTTTTCTTCCGCCACGTTTAACCCTTTCATGGTTTCCTCCTTTTCCCAGGCCAGTGCATGCCTGATAAAGGACTCAAGGACCTGTTATGAGGCAACAGTGACAAATAAGGACAAAATCACCGGTTTCTGTGATTTTTTTCTTTTGGAAGTATCATAATTATTCGTTTTGGGGCACGGCGCCCATATTTTATAATGGAACTCAACAACACGGGGCATTTATTTATTTTTTAATTCTTAAATACATCAGAATCTCCAAAAAGAAACTGGCAATTATAAAGAAATGAAAATATGATAGACGCTTTGACAGTAACAATGCATGCAGGCAAACTTGTATTAATTTAAAGAAAAACATAGTCCCCAGTCTATGCAACGTAGTTAGC